AGCAAGCAGGCAGACAGCAGGGCACAGGCATAGGCCTGAAGCACACGCCTGCATGAGCCGCACATGCCCCCTGCTCTGCGCCCCAGCCCAGCCACTCACAAGGCAGTCAGCAGGCTGGCAAGGTCGGGGGTTGCGGCCATGGAGGCGGCCAGGTGGGACAGGCACTGCCCCCCCAGGGCCGACAGGGAGTTGCAGCAGGACACTGTGTCGCCGGCGGAGGAGCAGGTGGTGTTGAGGGCGGCGTCAAAGTCGTCCACACACCGAGACACGTCCAGCGGGGCGCTAAAGGTAAAGGTAAAGGTGGGGAAGAGCCTCCACAGGCTTAACTTCCCGGTTTTAACGTCTAGCTTTAGACCATTATTTGATCTGCCCGACGCGCCAAGTGCAGTACCCCCCACTAGTAGTGAATGGGTCCCGGGGAGGCCTGTGCCGAAGCCTTGGCGATTCTAATAGGCGTTCCCGAAGGAATTGGCTTGGATTGGCGCTGAGCCGGTCAGCTATGCCGCGTTTGTCCTCACAAAGTTTCGACATGGGAGGAATCGAACCTGTGCCCTCTCGGAGGGTTTAGACACTAGCTCCAGCGCCTTCAAAGAAGGCCTTTCTTAGCCGCGGCCGCGGCGCCCTGGAACAGCGTGATGCTGCATGGGGCAAGGGTATCAGGGGGATGGCGGGCTGGGTTGGAGGCAGACAGCGGTCGAGTAAGCAGCCGCAAGCGTGCCGCAGCAGCAGATGCAGGCCCCAGCCCTCCATGCCGCCAGCCCGGCGCCCGCCACTCACGCTGCTTCGGTCAACTGCTGATCACCCGCCACGCTGTCCCAGGTGTTACAGTCACCCCGCTATGATAGGCCGCGTGAGCAGACCTTGGGCAGGGGGCACACGTGATCAAGGGGCATCAAGAGAGGGGGTGGACCATGGAGCACCCTCTCCATGGCTCCGACCACCCTCCCCCCAGCTGAGCGTCCCAGGGTCACCCCACCCTGGCCCCGCTCCCCGTCCTGCCGGACACGCAACCCCCACAACGTGGTGGGGGACGTGGGGATCCTTAGCAGCTTAGGCCTGCCAGGCCGACGGGTGCCGATGCTGGTGCGGGCTCCCGGCGGCAGGCAGCGCCGCCGCCGGGCACTCAAATGGCATGGGGCACATGGGCCCCCATGCCCGCACATCTCCCAGGCACATGAAAATACCAGAAGGCTGCACATGTAAGGGTGCATGCATTGCAGGCAGGAGTGCAAAGTGGCCTGCCGCGGCGGTCGGCTGTGCCATTACTCAGTCAGCCGCCGCTACCGTGCCGGGCTTGGCGTTCCCATGCCAACATGCCGGCGTGCCATCGCGCAAGGGCCAGTGAGTGTGTGAGGTGGAGGTGGGGGTGGTGGGGCTGCCGCTGACCGCTGCTTGCTGACGCTGACGCTGCTCTTACCCGCGGGGGGAGGGGGTGGGTCGGGAGCCAAGGCCGGGCAAAAGATGCCTGGTCCCTACTCAAGGGAACCGGGGGAGTCACTGTGCCAGGGCAGCAGCATGCTCCTCATGGCACCGGTCGGCAAACCGGGCCAGCCGGCCCTGCCTGGCCTGGCCGAGGAAGGCGGCCAGGGAGGGCAAGGCGTGGCCGGGACTGTGGAAGAGCTCAGCATACTCCTCCCTCAGCCCAGCGTATAGGGGGCAGTCATACACTGCGTGGCGTACGTCCTCTAGAGGGGCCTGGCAGTGGGGGCATGGGCGCTGGGTGCGGTCCAGCCGCTGCCACCGGCCTGTCTCCTCAGCCATCCAGTGCGACCCCGTGTGCCACTGCGCCAGGCGCACCCGGCGCCGGCGCTCGGGCACATCGCACAGGAACGACGCAGGCGTGTAGGCCTCCGCAGAGATGCTGCCCCCCCACACGTCCTCAATGTACCGCTGCACCTTCACGGATGCATGCGTGTACGAGGCAACATGGCGCTCCAGGAGCGCTTCCGCCAATTCAGGTATGGCAACCCCCTCGTCAGCAGTCAAGTCGCAGGGGGCGCCGGCCGCCGCGAGAACGCGGCTAACCTGCGCTGCCCAGGGCTGCCGGGCCAGTGGCAGCCCTGTGTCCGTGTCGGCAGCCAGCGCAACGCTATCCAGCATGGCAAGACGGGCGACCCGCTCGCCGCCCATAGCCTGCAGGTTGCTCACAAAGCGTGCAACCTGCAAGGTCCAGTAGGCGGGCAGCGGCAGCTGCCCCGTCTCTGCCAGCACAATGAGGGCT